CCCCCCCCCCCCCCCCCCCTCCCCCCCAGCCTTCTGCAGTATTCCAAATATACTTGCAACAATATCTCAATGTTGGTCAAGAGAAAGTAATTTCTTCTCTGCATTTTACAAGGGGTGCTTTCCATCACATGCCTAAAATTTCAGAAATTTCAGTTGGAAATAAGTGAAACAACTTGGTCCAAAACCGGACCAAAGAGGGCGGAGGACATCATGCCTTGTCCAAATGAGGAATCACAGTATATTTTTAGACGTAGTGTGCAATATTTTGTTGAGCTTGTAAGGTGAGTCAAAATACAAACAAAGTAAAAATATACTGCGATATGACACATCAAAACATCTAGTATGAAATTTGTTATCCAATTGCTGAAGTCAATAAATTTATCTGTGATAGAGGGAGAGTGCAACAGTTTTGTGTGAGCTGTACCAATCTGACCAGCAGGTTTTATACTGTGTACATACAAATAACTAGCTACAGTGTATGCAATGTCGCTGTATGCTCATTTTGTGCACTATTTGGATCATATGTGCTGCAGTTGTACAATAAAATACAAAAAATACTTGAGCACATCAAATTCTGTGACAGAAGAGATGCAATTCAGCCTCTGTTACAACGAAGAAAAAGCCAACAGACAACAAATTAATTAACAAGATGAGAAATTGTTAAAATGCCAGAGAAAAGAGTAACTCACCACTGTGCATTGGGATGGGAAATTGAGACCATTTGTGGAAAGTCGATAACCGTCACCTTATCACTGTCATTGATAATGAGATTGAACTCGTTGAAATCACAGTGAATCAGTCCATAACTTCCAAGTCGTACAATTAACTCCATCAACTCACTGTATAATGCTGATGGGTCAGCCACATCATGAACTTGACACCTTGTGACAAATAGCAACCAACAGTATTAGCATTGGTGTGCTTTCATATCATCTACTACAGTACTAGATATATGTACTCCGGGTCTATTATTTTTCAATACTCTTTCATGTACGTGTAAGGAACTCTGAAATGCCACGTTCATAAAGAGAACCCTCAGGGGGAGGCGGAAGGGAGGTGCACAGAACCTGTAGTCTTTTTGGAACCCCCATCTAATTCCTCTCACCTTAAAATTCTGCCACCCTACTTCAAAAGAGTTAAATTTGTAAGAGAAGAAATCTCTTAAATGCAGTTTTCTCCTAAAAAGGTATACAGTATAATTATTGTCTAAATCATACAAGCCAGCTTTTATGACCATTGACTTGATCAACATAATTTCAGAGCTAATCCTGTTTTACAGTTCAGTTCAACAACCACAGCAAAACAAATTGCCCATACATGTATATACAAACATTGTACAGCTGCAGTGCTGGTCAAAACTTACAGTGGGTGTCCATCCACAAGTTCCATGACTACGGCATGACGGTTGAAGTCAATAGGCTTTGGGACAGGATAACCATTGTCATGAAGAGCCTGGAAATAACAAAAAAGATCTTAACATCACTTGTAAAGTTATACCACATGTACATGTAGAACTACGATGTATTTGTCAAGGAAACCTGTATTTGTGGAAGTAGTGTTTTGCTCTTACATAATACAATTTCTCTCACTGTATTTTGTGTTTAAGAAATTGAAAATATGGTACGTAGGTATTCTTTATTTATCCACGGTATCAATTCACGTAACGTGCTCTTCTTCCATCAAGCTTTGCAAACTTAACTAATTAAATTATCTAAAGTAACTTAATAATTACTTATCTTTACAGAATTAAACTAAAAACTATTTTTAAAAAACTATCCTAATATATAGTTATTAGCTTTCGTTAAATTTAATCATAATTATGTCAATGATTTGAAAGAGCCAAGAGTGGGCTGTATCGTAGCACTCAAAGGCAAGCTGTTCCAGAGAACAGAACCACAATATTGAAAACTTCTTTTGCCTGCTTCAGTTTGTGGTCTAGGAATGAAAATGTTGCATTTTGAATTTCTTAGATTATATGAGTGAAGACTGGATGTATTCAAACTAGTCGGAGAAAGATTATGGAGAGCCGTAAACTGTATAATAATTATTGCTAGTTGCTTAGAATGCCTTTGCTCCAGAGAATCCCAGCAAGGTCACCAAGTAAAGTGGAAGATCTTATATTTAAGTCTGAGAAAGTAAACTATAAAATAAAATGGAAACATTCATTAAAATCTTAATATGAAGAAATTTTGTTTGTGTCCATTTTACAGGTACATATTAGGTGGATTTAAGAACATCAAAATGATAAAAAAAAAAGTAATTTTTGGTTGGCTGAGTAGTGGCCTTGATTTCTGAGAAAACATATAAAGTAATGCCAATTTCTCAAACCTTAACCATTGATTTTTTTGAACCTCCCGATACTTTGACCCAAAAGTTGTTTCCCTGTAATTTTGTAATGCTGTAACTTTACCTCCAATATTTTGAACTATCCGATTTTTCAATGACACCAATTTTTGTTTCCCGTGGAGGTTCAAAAGCCAGAAGTCCAATGTACATAAAATCACATTTCTAAAATAAAAAATCTCATTGATGATCAAACAGACCTTCATGTAAGCATATTCTTTAACAGCTGCCAGACGTGAAAGATACAACCATGAGACATTCTTACGATGCTTCAGGTAATCTCGCTTCTGCTTGAGCTTACGAAAAGATGTCCGTCCAAGCCTATTGAAAAATTTTAATACAGAAATCTTATGATTACATTTAACAAAAATATATGTTATATAATATTATTATTGATACGTAATGATTTTTAAATGATATATTAATAAGTTACATATTTAATATTAATAAGTTACACTGTACATGTTTTATCGACCATGATGACATGAAGTCGTCGAAATGTCATGTAACTTTACTTACATTAATTTTCCTGCTTAAATATTTATNTGATAATGAGATTGAACTCGTTGAAATCACAGTGAATCAGTCCATAACTTCCAAGTCGTACAATTAACTCCATCAACTCACTGTATAATGCTGATGGGTCAGCCACATCATGAACTTGACACCTTGCGACAAATAGCAACCAACAGTATTAGCATTGGTGTGCTTTCGTATCATCTACTGCAGTACTAGATATATGTACACCAGGTCTATTATTTTTCAATACTCTTTCATGTACATGCAAGGTACTCTGAAATGCCACATTCAAAAAGAGAACCCTTGGGGGAAGGTGGGATGGAGGCGCACAGAACCTGTAGGCTTTTTGGAAACCCCACCTAATTCCTCTCACCTTAAAATTCTGCCACCCTACTTCTGAAAAGTTAAATTTGGAAGAAAAGAAATCTCTTATGCAGTTTTCTCCCTAAAAAGGTATACAGTATTATTATTGTCTACATCTGATCATACAAGCCAGCTTTTATGACCATTGACTTGATCAACATAATTTCAGAGCTAATCCAATTTTACAGTTCAGTTCAACGACCACAGCAAAAGAAATTGCCTATACATGTAAACTATATACAAACATTGTACAGCTGCAGTGCTGGTCACAACTTACAGTGGGTGTCCATCCACAAGTTCCATGACTACGGCATGACGGTTGAAGTCAATTGGCTTTGGGACAGGATAACCATTGTCATGAAGAGCCTGGAAATAACAAAAAAGATCTTAACATCACTTGTAAAGTTATACCACATGTACATGTAGAACTACGATGTATTTGTCAAGGAAACCTGTATTTGTGGAAGTAGTGTTTTGCTCTTACATAATACAATTTCTCTCACTGTATTTTGTGTTTAAGAAATTGAAAATATGGTACGTAGGTATTCTTTATTTATCCACGGTATCAATTCACGTAACGTGCTCTTCTTCCATCAAGCTTTGCAAACTTAACTAATTAAATTATCTAAAGTAACTTAATAATTACTTATCTTTACAGAATTAAACTAAAAACTATTTTTAAAAAACTATCCTAATATATAGTTATTAGCTTTCGTTAAATTTAATCATAATTATGTCAATGATTTGAAAGAGCCAAGAGTGGGCTGTATCGTAGCACTCAAAGGCAAGCTGTTCCAGAGAACAGAACCACAATATTGAAAACTTCTTTTGCCTGCTTCAGTTTGTGGTCTAGGAATGAAAATGTTGCATTTTGAATTTCTTAGATTATATGAGTGAAGACTGGATGTATTCAAACTAGTCGGAGAAAGATTATGGAGAGCCGTAAACTGTATAATAATTATTGCTAGTTGCTTAGAATGCCTTTGCTCCAGAGAATCCCAGCAAGGTCACCAAGTAAAGTGGAAGATCTTATATTTAAGTCTGAGAAAGTAAACTATAAAATAAAATGGAAACATTCATTAAAATCTTAATATGAAGAAATTTTGTTTGTGTCCATTTTACAGGTACATATTAGGTGGATTTAAGAACATCAAAATGATAAAAAAAAAAGTAATTTTTGGTTGGCTGAGTAGTGGCCTTGATTTCTGAGAAAACATATAAAGTAATGCCAATTTCTCAAACCTTAACCATTGATTTTTTTGAACCTCCCGATACTTTGACCCAAAAGTTGTTTCCCTGTAATTTTGTAATGCTGTAACTTTACCTCCAATATTTTGAACTATCCGATTTTTCAATGACACCAATTTTTGTTTCCCGTGGAGGTTCAAAAGCCAGAAGTCCAATGTACATAAAATCACATTTCTAAAATAAAAAATCTCATTGATGATCAAACAGACCTTCATGTAAGCATATTCTTTAACAGCTGCCAGACGTGAAAGATACAACCATGAGACATTCTTACGATGCTTCAGGTAATCTCGCTTCTGCTTGAGCTTACGAAAAGATGTCCGTCCAAGCCTATTGAAAAATTTTAATACAGAAATCTTATGATTACATTTAACAAAAATATATGTTATATAATATTATTATTGATACGTAATGATTTTTAAATGATATATTAATAAGTTACATATTTAATATTAATAAGTTACACTGTACATGTTTTATCGACCATGATGACATGAAGTCGTCGAAATGTCATGTAACTTTACTTACATTAATTTTCCTGCTTAAATATTTATTAACATATACAGGCAAAAACTAACGATAGACAAATCCGACGTTTCGGCGACATCTTGGCGCCATTGTCAAGGGAAACTAATTAAATATGCGATTTCAAGAGTAACTAAGAGTTCAGAGTTTCTAATTTGCATAAGTTAGACAAAGACTTTAGCGCAAACTGAGTCTGATTGTACACTTAAACACGGTCGTAATTGTTTAATGAGTAACATCGCATATTTAATTAGTTTCCCTTGACAATGGCGCCAAGATGTCGCCGAAACGTCGGATTTGTCTATCGTTAGTTTTTGCCTGTATATGTTTATCTAAGTCATTGTTGATTTAAATATTTATTAATGTCTTCATTTATCTTTTTAAATTATTCATGGAAAATGCATTATTACTGTACATGTACATGTACATGTATATTATTTTAGTATTTCAAATAATAATAATAACAAAAGCAGTGCTGTAAGATTTTGTCTGGAGGAGGATTATTCTAAAAAAGTTCGGCAACACAGACCTGTGTAATTTGAGGGCATGTTGGGTTTCTTCTTCATCAGCAATAATATAGATATCTGCAAGTAGGAAGCTGAGAGTAAATTGATATAATTACCCTGAAATTAAAATAATGACATATGGATATAAGTACATGTATGTGGAAATTCCAGCACTTTTTCAATGGTCGCCTGTTTTGTGTACACATATGTATGCATGCAGCTTTCACGTGTGGTATTATAATATTGTACAATGTAATTACTAAAACTGAAGTCTTTCTAATAGAGATCAACATTTTATGACCTCGAGAAGAAAAATGGAGTCACTATAATAATATTTACTTGCAGTGTTGAACAATAATTATTGTCAGTTTGTCACAAAATCTGTATCTGTTCAGTTTTTTGTTTTCAGTGATGGTGAGTACGACTACATGACGCTATGACAATAGTATATATACATGTACGTTCAAATGGGTTTAACTTGGCAAGTGAGCCATATTGCTGGAGCTCATACTGGGTTCTGTAGCATGAGGTGACCACAGCTGTAGGAGTATTTCTAGTCTGCCCTGAATCGGATGCTAGCTACAGTAAGCCATAGCAGGGTTACCCCCAGCATTATATTCCGTGGTACCCATTACCTGGCAGGAGAGAGGCACTGTAAGAGTTGAGTGTCTTGCCCAAGATCGCAATGCAGTGACCCCAGCTAGGGCTTGAACCCGCTCACTCAATCCAGGTTGAATAAGTAAGACTTCAGTTATTTCTCATGATTACATGTCATTACGCCCAAGTACCTACAGGAGTGTAGTTCTTTGAATTTGCCATGCTTTTAGGCTTTTTTCTGCCATACATCAGAAAGGCAGGTTTGCAGATCAGATCCATTAAAAGAGTGAACATGTAAGGGCAACACAAAATGACAAAAAAATCTCAGCTATGCAGTCGAGGAATGTTCTCTGATCTAGGTTGGGTACTAACTATTAGGTCATTGTAAAGTACTGAAGATAGAAATTGATTTTGTACCATTAGAGGCTCCTCTGAACAAGAACTGCTTAAGGTAAATGGACACTTGGTATTAAATTAATGTCTGAATGCACGAAAAATGGAGTGAACAAGACCACAATGCCACAACTACATTCAGCTGCTATTAGACAGTTGGGCTTGGAAGATTTCTTAAAACAGAAGTTTACTTGCAAAACAAATAACACACTCACCAGACTCCTTGCCGACACCAATCTGATTCCCAACTGACTGAACACTTCCTCTCGTAGTCAACGCCTTCAGTGCCAGGTAATCATATCCACTGAAGGTAAGTCTGTAACCTTCAACTACATGTACATGAGTGATGAACAGGAAATCAGTTGATACAAATGTTAAATGCAGATAAAAGCCAGCATAAGGGAAATTAGAGCAGTTTTCAAATCAAAAGCACAGAAAGTAATCACTCTGGCCAATGACAAAGGACACAGACGAGCTAGCAAACCAATCATCACAAGCGATAAACATTGTCTGATACTAAGCAAACAAGGAATAAAAAAAATCTAAGATTGCTAAAACCAGATAATACACTGCAATATTTAGCAGGATAGCTGCTTTATTGTACCACAAATTATCAACAAGATGAACCTTTACAGTGAGATGAACTGGTCATGCAGCACCTTGGAAGATGCTGATGGCAAAATAAGTACTCACAGGATAACTTTTATTTATTCCATGCATAGGCGTTTCTGACCACCTTTGCACATTACAGCAATATGTTGAATAAAAAACTAATTTCTCCACCACTTTCTCTATCTCTGTGTTTATATCTTGGTTGTTACATGTAGTAATACAGTAACAATAATAAACAACTCTTGTAATTTGTTCAAGAATAAACACCTGGTTACATCAACATAAATGAATAATTGACTGACTAATGAAGGGACGGATCGACAGATGGTTGCATGGAGAGATGGAGAGACATGCAGATGGACAAACGAACTGAACCATCATCTGACTGACTGACTGATTCACCTAATCACGGACTGACTGACCAACTGACTGATGGACCAACTGACAAACAAACTGACTGACTGACAGACTGACTGACTGACAGACTGACTGACTGACAGACTGACAGACTGACTGACAGACTGACAGACTGACCAACAGACTGACTGACTGACAGACTGACTGACAGACTGACTGATATTATTATAATCATCTCACCTCGTCCAGACTTCTCATAACACACTAACTTGTGTTTTGAGAGTTCACGAAGGATCTTATGAGAGCCGCCATGTTTAAGGTCAGCTATTGAAGCTACAAGAGGTGTAGGCACCAGCTCATGGTTTTTCATACCCATTTCAACCTAAAAATGTTTATGAAAAACTGTAAGACTTCTACAGGAGTGTCGTTCTTGATGGTTGGCAAAGGGTTTTATATGTGTGACACGTGATGACAGCAAAAATTAGTGTTTGATACCCCCATTTGACGCGTGAACAGCAATTTCATTGACGTAAAAGACATGTGTGATTCCTAAATTTAAGGAAAAAAATTTACAAAATTGCTAACGTTGCCTAAAGTATTTGTGACGGGTAAATTTTGTTCAATTTTCTTGAAACGAAATCACACACCATTTCCCCNACCATCCCCCTCTCCCCCCTTCCCACCACTTCTACGCTCTTCTTTAAATCCGCTTTAATTTATATAGCCTTTTGATTTTGTTTTGTTTTGATTTGTTTTGTTTTTTCGCCATATATCAGAATACAGGTTCGCAGGTCAGATCAACTAGAAGAATAGAAAATGTCGTTACAATACAAAACGAAAATAATCTGAGCTGTATAGTTTAGAACGGAGCTTTTGCTAAAAACAGCTAAAGCCATGTGCTGGCGGCCAGGCGATACGTAGCGACCTAAATTTCACACTTACCGCCGTAAGAACTCTGAATTCCTCTGAGGAAAGGTACCGCAGCATCGATACATTAAGTTTACCCATATTTATGTGTTGTGCTCGGAGATATCTAAGTATTCGGACGACAAAACACGTTATTATTAAGGCTCATTCTACAAGCGATGAGAACTTCGAATTTTCACGTCCTTTTTGGAGCCCGTGGTATGCGTCGCTGACCAACGTTGGGCAACAAATCCAGGACCCAGGGCCTTTCGTACCATTTTACGGAGGGGAAGCTTAAAGTAAATTTAAAAGGATTGTCACGGGGCACAGGCATGTGTTCACTTGGATCATGGTCTTTCGACTGAATTCATAAAGTCACATGCAAAGTTTCAGGAAATGTTAAGACGCATAAGCTTTTTACCAAAAGCCACACTAGAAACAATTTATTACAAAACAATCATCCCAAGCGTCTTATATGGTATGGCTGTGTGGGGCTCTTGCTCAGATTATTTGATGAAAGATCTAGAACTAATCCACCTTAGAGCAGCAAGACTTATCCATAAACTACCAAGAGACATGGAAGACGAAACAGTACTTATAAATGCAAATTGGATGCCATTAAAATATTTTTATTGTTCTCGTATTCTAAATTTAACGCATAGAGCTTTTTATAATCTAGGTTTAGATGATGTTAATAGTCTAGTTGTTAAAAACGCTTCTTCTTATAGTCTTAGGAAATCGTTAAATG